GTGCGATGTACCATACAGTCTCATCAGTCACAGGAGGGACTAGTTCTGCATCACCACTGCTGATAATGTCTCTCATAAAGGCACTGTAATGCTCATGATACCTTTTGTCAGCCTTGAGCCTTTTCTTTAGGTAGTGCAGTCGAACTGTAGCTAGCTTCTTATTGTTGGGAAGGGCTGGTGACTTGTGATCCCTGAAAGGAAGGGGCATCTGGTAATGTCCATCATCTCTCTGCTTTATTGTGTCACTGAGGAGCTGTAAAAAATAGAGGTCCTCCTGAGACACGTACTTATCTTCAAAGTTTCTCTCATTCAAGTCTGACTCCAAGACTTTTAGCACATCAGCTGTAGAGGGTGTGGGCATTTCTTTAACTTTGATTCGATGCACATAACTCTGGTTTCCCTCTCTGTCTAAGTGGTGATCACTAGACCCAATGATATCCAACCAAGTATGGTTCTTTGTGCGAAAGGCTCAGTTAGTTGTCCTGTAAGAACTTCTAGGGGGGCTAGTGCTGATGGACAGTCATAGCCATTTAGCAAACCCACTTCACAATCTTAGTATCTAGTGGCTGTAACTGGTTGGCTATACCTTTAAGGTGTGGCCACTGAAGTGCAGTTTCTCTTGTGGGAATGCTGGACATGTCAACTGGGATAAAATCACAAGAGTAGGCTTGTTTTATTTTAACATGGGTGTCGGAGTCAAAGCTATGCACCGGCAGGTTGCTAGCAAGTTTACTTGCCACAACTGTTGTAACCCGAATCATGTCCAATGATCACTTAAGTGTGGTGGGGTTCTCTCTGTAGCTATACCTTAAACTATAGAACTATTCAGTGAGTGGTCAAAACTCAGGTATTTATTTTAAACACACTGAACACAAACGATAATTCCCCAGTAAACTCCCCCTCACAGTAAAAAAAAAGTACTCCTCAGCCGCTTTGCTAGGGCAAATAATCTCTAAAAATGACAGAAAAACCGTGTGGCCACACTAGAACAAAAACTTCGAAACACCTGCACAGGTACTAAACAAAATAGCAGGCACACAAAAGAAAATACCCCCCGAAATAAATTGTTACAGGCCTGTTATCTGTGTAAACTGAAGAAACAATCCTTTTCCAAATGTCCTTTACTCACAGTACCGTAGTCCCAGTCTTCCAGTGAAACAAAAAAAGAAAACCTGTGTGCGAGCCGCACAAGATGTCCAGCCGGGTGGCTGATGAAGTCCCTCCCTTGTTGCCCGAGGAACCTCTGGCGTTCCTCGTCACCAGGGCGCTATCCGGGCAGCGTTGCTCCCATGCCGGCTACTTCAGTGGAACCACTGGCTGTTCGGAAACCAGGGCGCTAACTGAGTAGCTCCGAGCTGCATCTGGCAAGGGCTAACTTTTCTCAGCCAGCCCTCGAGCTGGGTTGAGGCTTATAAACTCGGCGAAACTATGAAACTATGAACTAAAACACTCCCTGCAACTATGTCCCTTGAACATGCCCTGCCAATTCGGTATTAACTCCAGTGGCTCTCCGGCAGTTTTTTCTCCCTCCGAGCAAACTGTCTTTCCTTCTCCCTTATTTTTTCTCTTACCTAGCAGAGAAGACCCGGACTGCCCAACACCCCCCCCCCACAGGGAAAACCAAACACGCCCCTCTCTCTTTCGGTCTCCTGCCTCTTCTTGCCTGTTCCTCTGGCATACATGACATCTTTAACTCATTCACACAGGTCTATACAGCACACTTATAACAATTTTGTCCTTTTTCAGTTTCTTCCTCTTTTAAATCAAAAACTGGTAAAGTAAATCTCTGCAAAATATTTAAATGCATAGCACATGAAAATAAACCAACTGTTAGGCCATAGGCTAGCTTTCAGAAAGTGGCTAGAAAGTGAGTTCCGTTCCAGCATCTTGGGCAATACTTTTTATTATGGTTTTTATTAAGTAAAATAGTTCATTTTCTTTGAAAAAAGGTTCCACAAGCGGGTATCCTGCAGTTAGTGAGTAATCGTCATTTGAAGTTGGGTAATACATGAAAAAATGGACATTTTAGCCTCTAAAAGCATCTTTGACTCCAATTATCTCTAAAAGTAATAAAGCCACACACTTCAATCTTGGTAGATCTGTGGAGGGTCCTACAAATATTCAATCCCTAAAATATCGGCCGGATTGGAGCAGTGGTTCCAGAGGAAACTTATTTGGAATATTCCTGAAATGTTTGCATTTCTGGCCTCTAATAGCATATTTGACTCCAATTATCTCTAAAAGTAATAAAGCCACACACTTCAAACTTGGTAGATCTGTGGAGGGTCCTACAAGTATTCAATCCCTAAAATATCTGCCGGATTGGAGCAGTGGTTCAAACTTATTTAGAAAATTCCTGGAATTCCAATAATAGCATCTTTAACTTCAATTATCTCAATAAAGCTAAACACTTAAATTTTCCACAATCGATACGAACATTACCACATATGTCCAATATGAAAGATTAGGAGAATATGAGCAATTGTTGTGAAGAAATCTTTATTTAAAAATCTAAAGCAGCATTGTTTCCAACACAGTGCTATTTAAACATATACACAGCAGGATAAAAATTTTCATATTGATAAAATATCAGGTTTAGATTATGAAAAAAATTAAAAACAAATATGATGAAATATTCAGTCACTATGTCTGCATATTCATCATAGCCATACCTCTATGGGGGCTTTCTGACTCTGGTCCATTTTCTCTGAGCTTCATTGACTGGTGTGTCATCGTTGACTGATGCTGCTCTCTCATCAGGACCACTCCCAGCATTCATGTCTGAACAAGACAGTTCCACTTCCTGTTTCCAGTCAAAGTCTGTCTCATTGACAATGACGTCCCGGCGAATCAGAATCCTCCTTTTCTCCTCATCGAACAGATGATAGCCCTTGGCATTGTTGGCATATCTTACAAAAAGAAACTTCACTGCTTTCTTGTCCAGCTTTCTCCTCTCTACTTCTGGAACATGTGCATATGCCACACAGCCAAATACTCTCATGTGACTAATGTTCGGCTTTCTGCCACACCATCTCTGGTATGGGGTCTGTTGCTTTAGAAGTGATGTGGGCAAACTGTTCTGCACATAGGCTGCTGTTGCTACAGCCTCTGCCTAATACATCTTTGGTAGCTTTGCATGAGAGAGCATACTCTTTGCTGCTTCAACTAAAGCCTGATTTTTTCTTTCAGCTACACTGTTTTGCTGTGGTGTATGAGGTACAGACATTTCATGGTGGATGCCTTGAGCTTTTAGGTATTCTTGAAATTCTTTCGACATGTATTCCCCACCATTGTCTGTTCTAAGTCTTGTAACTCTTTGTCGACACTCACTGGAGAATGTTCTCTCAAACTCTTTGAACTTGCTGAGCACTTCATTTTTCTGCCTCATGAAGTATACCTTGCAGCATTTAGAGTAGTCATCAATGAATGTCACAAAGTACTTTGACCTTCCTATGGATTCAGTCTGCATAGGATTGCATTTCTCCCACTAACTTGAATGGCTTTCTAGACAGCTTGCCCTCCACACATACTTCACCGAAGGAGTTCTCTTCATTATTAGAAAAGTCAGCTTTACTCATCAGAGATTTCAGCTCCTTCGGCATGATAGTGTGGCCCAGTCTTTGATGCCATAGGCGGGCTGCAACTGATGCACTTTCTGCTGCATGATGGACAGGCGTACTCCCCTCCATCTTTCCCACGCATGTAGCACCGGGTCTTCTTGAACTGCACGGTATTCCCTTTTTTCACAGCAGCTCCCACTGAGAAAATGTTTTCACACAGCTTGGGAACATACAGTACATCATACATTATGACATCTTTGACATCACTAACTTTGAAAGTCATTCTCATTTTAACATTGCCGAGTCCTTGTGCATCGACTACTCTAGCATCACCAAGTCTCACTGATTGTGGCTATGTGAATTCCTGGTAATCCTGTAGTATTTCTTTTGAGCATGTCATGTGTCTTGACGCTCCAGAATCAATCAGCCATTCGAATTGTTTCACTTTTTCACCCTGATTATTCTCTCTGGCAACAAATGCACTTTCAGTTGTACTCTCAGAATTTTCATTCTCCTCACATGTCACCTGTTTTGCCTTTTGGGTTTGATTTTTATTTATCTTTGGACAATTTCATTTCAGATGTCCCTCCTTGACAAATTTAAAACATTTCCATGTGGATTTGTCAATTTCCTCCGGCTGTGGATCCCCACGCACTTTAGTTTTCATTGCACGTAGCCCGGTTGTCTGGTCCACTTAGCTTGTCGATAAACAGTCTGTCCTCCATTGTGAATCCCACAACACAGAGTACTCTACACAGAATCCGTGTAAAACCACTATTTTAAGCTCTTTTACTGGAACTAATTGTGACCAACTGGGCCGATAACCTGTTGAATTTTCACTTAACTTTGTTGAAGTGAACAAAACGGAACATACAAAGCACCAGCGGGTGGCAGTATTTCACATCCTGACCTGCATTTTCAAATTACTGTATTACAACAGATACTTCTGGTCCTCTCAGCAGGTATTTTGGTCCAATACCCATGAGCAAACTGCTGGAGTTGTCTTAGGTTTAAAGGGTGACAAGGTTTTAGCTCCTTCCAAAGATGCTCAATAAGATTCAGGTCAAGGCTCCTAGAAGATCTCACTGACTAAATCTCAAAAATTTGCTGAAACATCAGGAAAGATTTTGGTTCACCCAAATAATATATACGTGTAATTATCAAGGTAGTATTGTTTCCAACAGTGTAGTTGATAAAACACAAAAACTAATTATTTAAAATAAAAGTCAGGTCAGTTCAAAATGACTTTATTGGTTCCAGATGGAAAAGTGGGACTTGTAACAGTTCATTAATAACATTTATGCAAAGTACAATTAAAGATGTTTACAATAAAAAACAAATCATGAAATTAATTCTGTAAAATTATGGATTATAAAAAATAAGATAAATTGACCTTGTATAAAGATAATTGATTACAATGCTACATAAAGTAGTGTGTTGTTTAAGGTCAATGAATTAACTGATGACATCCAGTTTTTTTACTGTGGAGCAGGTTTATACTGGTCGCATCTGTCTCCAGTGAGGTAGGGATCACACTTCAGAGAGTATTTCACTTCTATGTTTCCCATCCCAGAGCAGGTGAAAGAGTTGCTCCACTGGCTCAGTTGCTTACTGCATGAAATCATAAGGTCATCATATCCAGGGTCCCAGTCCCAAACATCAATTTTCAGCCAATCTTGTGTGTCCACCTAAAAAAAAAGTTTTTGAATCTAGTTTATGAAATGTTCCACTTTAGGTTTTCTTTCTTATTTGCACTGTTAATTAATTTAAAACAAAAACAAGAGCAATGGACATGATTCTGATGAAAAAACTATTTTCAACTTTGAATGGTTTATTTAAAGCTTAAGTGTGTAATTTTCAGCGACATCTAACTTCCAGACTGCAGACCGCAGCAACATGAACATCTCCCCCCCACCGCTTCTCCCCCCCAACAGTACGGCGAGCGTTACGGGACAAAATGTCTTCCACGACGTCCGCATCACCTACCTTCTCAAGTAATGAGGTTTGTTTACATAGATAATTTTACAGATAGTATTTCATTAGTCTGTGTAGGGTATAGATTTCATGTAGACTTAAGATAATAAATATACCCGTTATTTTTTCTACATTGTTGTGACGTTTTCGAGCGTAATGGGCGATCTCGCAATCGCTAGTTTGTTGGCTCTGCACTGCCGTAGCGCAAAGATGTCTGCCTCCATGGCTGCGAGACCCGCTCCTATGTAATTATAAATAACGAATTCTAAGGCAACGCAAATATTAAGGTTAAGAGGCTGAGCTCGTAGATGATGATAAATAACATAGTTATGTATAATATATTACATTTCTGACTGTATATCCCTGTAATTATTACACACTGTAGCTTTAAGAGTGCTGTTTTTCACTTTGTGCCAAAATGACCACTTGCTGTAATCTAAACTTTTTCATATTTTACTCGGAATTCAAAATGGAATAACTTTTACAAAAAAAAAAATAAATCAAATAAAACCATATTTGGTAAAGACTGGACAAAGTGATGCGTTTCTCCATTAACATACTCTAATCCTTCAGTCTGTACCAAACTTGCTATGATGAAACCTGGTCCAAGCCCACACAAGAATATAGGCCAATAATTGGTGGGTGTGGCTTACTTTCTCTATAGTGCCCCCTCAAAAGACTAAAATGACCAGCCCCAAGCGAAGGCCTTTTGTATCTGTAGTGTTTATTGTTATTATTATTATTAGGCCAGAACAGCGAAGCGCTGCAAAGGCCTATTGTACTTGTAAGGTTCTTATTATTTTTCTTTTGGCAGTTTGAATGGATTTTAGGGGGCTTAACGTGCATGAAATCGCATGATTGGACGTCACCAAATGACTCCACAGCGCCCCTGAAGTGAGTTGGGGCAAACCATAACTCAAAAAGAGTCTTAGCTAATCTATAATGAAAAATCATACTTACATGGCCCAAATTATACTCAGCATTCCAAGTTGGATTGTTTGAATGGATTGTGCTGGTCTGGTGGTTTATGGAGCCATACGACATAATAACATAACTGAGAAGAGAACGGGAAGAAAGAAAACAAGATATCAATACTGCTTTTATCAATCACAGTAAGATCTCAATTGTTTTACTGTGCATTAACCCACGCTTTAGTTGTCACAACTGGATCTCCTTTGAGATCCCAGCCTCGGACAATTGTCACAGACAGGGTCCCCTTTGAGGCCTCCTTTGGACAGCAGTTGGTGCCCAGGTTGGGAACACCAGAACAGGTTGGTTCTTTAGGTGAGACCTTCATAGCATTGCTCTCCAAATACTGCTCAATAGCAACCTTCATCCCTGTCTTTTGTGAGCTGCTTGGCATTAGCTCATAAAGTGGGCGGAGGGAGTACCAAACAACATCTGGATAATCTTTGAGGCTGTTCAGCCAAGCTGAGAAGCCAGCAGAATCGTTTTTAGAAATGGAAAACTCCCCTAACCAACCATTTCCTCCTGATACTTCAGTGTAGTGTATGTGGAGACCGGAGCTGTATTGGGTGGAAGAGTCATGGTTTTCTAGAACATCTTTGCAAGAACTAGAGACACTATTAGCCTCAATCTTTCCAAGGCCGACAGAAATACCCCTTGATAAACAGGAGTGGACCTGGATAACAAGAGGGAACAATGATATAATTAATATTCAGTGCAGATATTGTAGAATAATTTATTTCTTTTTCTATTTCTATCTTTTATAATTTTTGGGTTGAAAAGGCAGATTGTGTATTATTTGTACACATTCAGTGTTTTATTACAATGGTTTACAAACTGGGATGAATTTGATATTCTTAAATGTGAAATTTTCTACCTCATCTGAGGTCAGGCCATTAAGGGAGGACAAACAGGTGCGTGAAGACGTCACTCTTCTAATTCGGCCCCCAAGATCCACCTGATACAAAGTTTTATGTTTGTCTAAAAAGTTTTCCTTCTATATTTGTGAATTAAAGGAGTTCTTTGCTTCTGAGTTCTCACCTGTCTGATGTAGTGTGTGCCGTAGATGTTTAGGACATCCTTGTACGCAGCAGTACTGTTGGAGTCATAGTGACTTGGCAGTGAGTTTAAGTGGGATCTAAATTCTGGGCTGAGGGATGGAGTGCTTGACACACGGAAACTAAACACCAAGAGAAAGTTAGACCATAAAATCATTATCCATTTTAATGAATATGACCTCTGAACTTAAAACAAAAAAATCTAAAGTTTATTGTACCCATAATGGGCACAGGTGACCCTGTGGGTGCTGAAAGTGTATCGGTCCTCTCTTGTTCGTTCAGAAGCAAAATTGTAGGCAGAAGAGCGGGTTCCTCCCAGCTGCAGACTGCCAGAGGCGTTATGATCATGTATATCCAATCCAAACTAATAAAAAGACAAAAAGGGCTGTTTAGTTGTTTGATAATTAGGGATGAACTTCTGACATTCTGTGTTCAAAGTAGTTCTGAAATGTTTTTTTACCGTCCAGTCACTGCTGTCTTGGGTTGTGTAAGTATTAACCAGCGAGCTGTTGGCACATATTAGTATGAATTACCACATGTCAAAACAACAGGCAAATAAAAAGAAATTTAAAAAATGCAAAAGGTAGAATTGTGAGGATGGTAACTGTCTATAAAGTAGGTTTCATTTTGTTTTAGTAATGTGAGAAAATGAGGAAAAGCTATTTTCATGAAGTAGTAGCAATTTAAGAACAAATATTTCTCCAGAAAATCAATGAAGTATCTAAATCCTAGTTATGATATTTTTTTGACATTGTACCTTGAAGAAGTGTGAAAACTGTTGTAGATATCAGCACTGCATGTGCTGAATGCACGCCAGTCCACTACAGAAGATGGTAGCTTAAAATAAAACAGCAGGACAATTAATATTTGACAAATGAAATACACAATAGTGTTTATTTCAGATTTGACAGTACTTTCTGGAGCTTGTTCCCTTGAAGAGGGTTGGAGCAGAGGGTACAGGTTCCACTGGAGCTCAGATAAGTCTTAAAATCAATCACATAAGCGCCTTTTCTGCGCAGTTTGACCACATCAAAACCTTCTCCTACCAGGTTGTGGCCTGGTACAAATGGAGTAGCATCACATTGGGCTTGAGTCCCATTCAGACAGCAGAGAACAGAGCTGGGAAACAGGAGGAGGCTTAGCAGAAGAGGCATCAAGGTCGAGCAGAAGGCCATGATTAGGGGCTAAAAAAGAAATGGAAAAGTTAATGAATCACTGCTGTTTCAGAGTAGATGGCTAGTACTATAAAGAGTGAATGTTAGGCATAATTACACCGCATCAAAAATTTACTTTAAAATAGTCCATATGCAAAATCGTGAGTTTACTAACACTAATATGGCTGTTATTCAGACATAATAAGCCTTCTCAATTTACAATTCAAAGACTGTAAAGCTAAAAGAAAAAAAAACATTAACTGTAATACTATAAATTCAGAAGTAATACAAGTCTTTCAGTCATTATAAAACCCAGCTCAACTTTATTTTCTCCGTCATTCAGCAGTGCATTAGCAAAAATGATCAAATTGACTCCTTATAGTTTTATCTTTTGGTTGAAGAATGAAACAGGGCTAGTTTTAGTAGTTTCAAGCATTTGCAAAAGTTGAAAAACCTACTGTTGAAGAGCCACTTCCAGATTCAGCAGCTCATGCAAGACCTGAGGAAAATGAGCTGAGGACCACAGTTTATAAAGAGGACAGAAAGAGGAGGACCAAAAGCTCCAAAGATATATGGTTGGCTTAACAAACATAGAACCGTGTGATATTGATAGGGGTTACAGGAAATGTCCTTGGTAAAGCATAATAATTAAAGAAGATGAGCTTATTAGTAAAGATAAATATTAGATAAGGCACTTCCCCCCCCCTTCTGTTTGTTTAACATCCAAATAGTAGATCATATGAAAACACTTTTAAATGTTGAGATTTTTACCAAATGTTTCCCTTTTTTTCAAAATAAAAAAGTGTATATTATTATGGACAGAATCAGGATTTTGAATTAAATGTATTAATTTGTGGTTAAGGTTCAAAAAAGCTAATTATTTTTAATGAAAACTACCTGGACAGAGTTCTGAATATCAGTTGCGCAAGAGTTTTGCTCTTTGGCAACAGGGGCAAGGGTTGACTTTATCGTATTTGTTGAAACTCTGGTTGTTGACCAAACAAATTAATGATTTAACTTGATCAAAGACTACTAACTAGTGCCATCTCGAAACTAAATGACAGAAAGGCAAAAGACAACTGGGCATTATAATGCTTATCATTAAGTATAAATAAAAAAGCAATTCATTTTTTTCTTCTAGTACCTAAAACTTTTAAAATGTATTTGATTTTAGCAGATACATTAAAATCTGTTAATGTAATGTAATTAACTCCCATTTGCAGCTTATAGCTGAATGGTTGATAAAAATTGCTTCAAAAGAGATCCACTGTTTTGATCCAAACAATTGCCCTAGCTTCACGCAGCTCCAGGACTTTAGAATAAGTCAGGAAAAGTGGAGGAAATAAAGTATCACAGCTCTGATGTTTACCTGGCTCTGAAACGGCTCAAAGATAAACAGAGCTTACAGATAACAGTATCACAAAATTAAAGTTCTTCATTATAAAAGAAAATGGAGTTCTGACTCTGCAAGCTAGAAAAACCACATCAAAAGGGAAGTCCTGAAAGTAAGATCAGGGATGACGAAAGCCATTTGGAGGCCCAGAGCACAAATGCTATGTGATTCCCCCAACTGGAAATTATCATTTCCCTCATTTCTCTGTATTTCTAATATAACACCTCAATATTAAAATTTTGACAACAGCTGCAATAAACTAATACTATTCCATACAATACAAATGTGTGTTATATATCACAGATGACACTTATTTATTCATTTATTTGTTTTCTTTTCGAACAAAATGAATGACAGGCAAAATATACAGTAAATATTCATACACACGCACAAAGGTTTGTATACTTTTAAATAGGCTACATATGCATGTTCCTGACTAATCTAAATCAATATTTTATTTTTAATCACACACTTGCGTAGTTTGTTTTTTGTCTTTAAAGAGAAAATAAAAAAATTGTCTGGAAATGCATGTAAATAAACAACCATAGAATAATGAAAAAGTAGAAAAAATGCCAGAGTTTAAACAAAAGTCAGAAAACCCAGTTTTCCACCAGCATTTAAACGCACCATGTGTCATGTTGGGTTCAAGGAGTCTAACCCACATGCAGAAAACACTCAGGAGGCAGAGAAAAAGTTCAAAGGTTTATTTACAAAATGTACAATGAAATGTAAACTGGTCCTTGGTTTGGCAGACTGGTGACGAGGGGATCACCACTGAGGAGGACCGAGAGGTTAGTGTTTGATCCAGGTTTTCTGATGTAGGAGTATATACCTGCTCAAGGGTGGAACGGAGCTGCAGAGGGGGGAACCTTGAGGGTCCAGAGGCTAGTCGGCAGGCTGAGGGCTGAGGCAGAGGCTTAACTGAGTGCAGGCAGGCAGATTCCAGACAGAGAAACTCTCCAGGATATCACTGAGTGCAGGCAGGCAGATTCCAGACAGAGATCACTCTTCAGGATTTCAGATTTTCAGACTGGACTCAATCTGTGAGGCAGAGAGAAACAGGGTCAGGCAGGTTCAAAAAGTCAGAGATTCAGATCAGGTTATTTGGCTCAGGTCTAGCTCTACCATTACTGGCAAACACTCTGGCAGGGAAGTGATAGCCTCCTCCTCCTTAAATGGAGCCTCCTGATGAGCAGATGGAAGACAAGTGTTGCAGTCAGCTCATGCCCCCAGGAGATCTTGTGCGCCCTCTGGTGGAGAAAGTGGACAAAGCCTCCAGATCCCAACAGTACCCCCCCTTAACGACCGTCACCTGGCGGTCCAAAGGAACAGGAAGGCAGAGAATCATGATAATCAGAGATGAGAGCAGGGTCTAATATAAAAGAACCGGGAACCCAAGTTCGGTCCTCCGGACCGTAGCCCTCCCAGTCGACCAGGTATTGCCAACCTCGGCCCCAGCGACGGGAGTCTACGATCCGGCGAACGGTGTATGCAGGATGTCCATCAATGTCACGGGGGGGAGGAGGGGAGTCGGACGGAGGGCAAAGTGGACTGGTCAGGACGGGTTTGATCTGGGACACGTGGAAGGTGGGATGGATCCGGAGTGAAGGAGGGAGATGCAGGCGGACAGCAGATGGATTAATAATGGTGTCGATCTTGTACGGGCCAATGAAACGGGGAGACAGTTTTTTGGACATAGATTTCGATGGAATGTCACGGGTAGAAAGCCAAACCTGTTGTCCTGGTGAGTATGTGGGAGCTGGGCGTCTTTTCCGGTCTGCGAATCAGCGATTTAGTTCTGATGAACGGTTCAAGGTTGCAATGGTGTTTCTCCAGACTTTGCGACATCGGCGGATGTGGTGATGGACAGATGGGACTGAGACTTCTTTTTCTTCGGCAGGAAACAATGGAGGCTGGTACCCTAAGGAGACTTCGAAGGGGGAGAGACCGGTAGCAGATGAGAAATGAGAGTTGTGAGCATACTCCACCCAATGCAGGTACTGACTCCAGTCAGTCGGGTTGGTAGAAGTGAAGCATCTGAGGGTGGACTCCAGCTCCTGATTAATGCGTTCAGTTTGGCCATTTGACTGAGGGTGGTAACCAGAGGTTAGAGAAATCTTGGTTTCGAGAGCAGAACAAAAATGTTTCCATACCTGGGCTGTAAATTGTGGTCCTCTGTCTGACAGGATCTCCTGAGGGATGCCGTGCAATCTGAAGACGTGCTTGGTTAGAAGAAGAGCTGTTTGAAAAGCGGTGGGGAGTTTTCTCAGAGGGATGAGATGGCAGGCTTTGGATAATCTATCAACTATGGTGAAAATGGTGGTCATACCCTTGGATGCCGGTAACCCTGTGACAAAATCTATTGCTATGTGGGACCAAGGGCGTTTGGGAACAGGCAGAGGATGGAGGAGACCAGAGGGAGGCTGATGAGACGGTTTATTACGTGCACAGATAGTGCAGGCTAGTACAAACTCCTTAACGTCCTTGTGGAGAGATGGCCACCAAAACCGACAGGAAATCAGAGCAACAGTTCTACTGACCCCAGGATGAGCTGAAAACTTAGAGAAATGCATCCAGTGAATTAATTTGGACCTTACCGATGAGGGGACGTACGTCTTGTCAGGCGGACCAGTGCCAGGATCAGGTTCAGAAGTTTGGGCCTGTTTAATCTGGTCAGAGATCTCCCAGGAGACCGTAGCAACAGTACAGCTAGCTGGTAAAATATTAGCAGAAGATTCAGGTTCATCAGGAGCATATAGGCAAGACAGAGCGTCGGGTTTGATGTTTTTAGAGCCTGGCCGGTAGGAAATGATCAGGTTGAACCGGGAGAAAAACAGAGACCAACGGGACTGACAGGGATTGGATCTTTTGGCAGATTGAATGTATGAAAGATTTTTGTGATCAGTCCATACCAAAATGGGATGCTCTGCGCCCTCCAGCCAATGCCGCCATTCTTCCAAAGCCAGTTTTATGGCGAGAAGTTCTCTGTCACCGACGTCGTAATTTTGTTCAGCAGGGGTGAATCTGCGGGAGAAAAATGCACACGGGTGAGTTCTCTGGTCAGAATCAGAAACTTGGGACAGAACAGCCCCCACCCCTGAGTCAGAAGCATCCACCTCCAAAATGAACTGTTTGGAGGGGTCCGGTTGAATAAGGATGGGTGCATTTGAAAACAGAGCTTTGAGTTTCTTGAAGGCAGCCTCAGCCTCCGCAGACCAGTGAAAAGTTCTTTTGACAGAAGTTAAGGCTGTCAAAGGCTGGGCTGTTTGGCTGTAATTAGGGATGAATCTGCGGTAAAAGTTGGCAAACCCCAGAAATCTTTGCAGTTGTTTCCAGGTTCTCGGGAGTGGGCCAGTCCAGAACCGCCTTGATTTTATCCTCCGACGGCTTCACCTGCCCGCCCTCGAGCACAAAACCTAGGAAAGTGACAGATGGGCGATGAAACTTACATTTCTCTGCCTTCACAAACAGTTTGTTCTCTAGAAGTCTTTGCAGGACCAAACGGACATGTTTCTGATGTTCGGAGATGTTTTTAGAGTAAATCAGATTGTCATCTACGTAGACAAAAACAAAAACGTTCAAAAAATCCCTCAAAACATCATTCACCAGAGCCTGGAAACAAGCTGGGGCGTTAGTCAGACCGAAGGGCATTACAAGATACTCGAAATGTCCCAGAGGTGTTTTAAAAGCGGTTTTCCATTCATCACCTTCACGGATTCTGAGAGGGTGATAAGCGTTTCTCAGGTCTAACTTGGTGAAAACAGTGGCTCCCTGAACAGGTTCAAAGGCTGAAGCTAACAGGGGTAACGGGTATTTGTTCTTGATGGTTATTTGGTTTAACCCTCGGTAATCAATACAGGGTCGCAGAGATCCGTCTTTTTTACTGACAAAAAAGAAACCGGCTCCGAGTGGAGATGAGGACGGTCGAATTATTCCAGCGGCTAATGACTCATTGATATATTTTTCCATAGCTTCCCTCTCGGGTTTGGAGATGTTATAGAGCCGACTGTTAGGTGGAGGGGCCCCAGGGAGAAGATCAATGGCGCAGTCATAAGGTCTATGCGGAGGGAGATAAAAGAGCTCTAGCCTTACTGAATACAGGAGCTAAATCATGATAGTCATGGGGTATGGCGGAAAGATCAGGCGGGTCAGC